AAAGCTTCATGCAGGCAAACTGCATGTTGTCTATCCCTCTGTTTTCGAAGTTCTTAGCTGGTGTAAAGCAAAGTAACTTAGTCACTGTCACTGATTCATGCCAATTAAAAACCTGAGACCAGTTTTTCCAGTGCCTCGTAAATGTGCATTATTTCAGTGTAAATTATTTCTTCTATCACTAAAAGTATATCTCTAGGAAAGGGAAACATTATTCTTGTTTTAAGCTTTTGATAGGTCAGTCCTTTTTCCCTTTGAGCAGGGAGAACCTGTTTATGCTTTTGGAATGTTCTTTTTTAGAAAGTAGATAGAGAACTGAACTGAAGAAAACCCTGCTTTTTCTGTCTAATGTGTGAAAAATATACCCCATCTTTACATTTTTGTGTCTTTAATAAATTAACGGTGTCATAGTTTAACTCATGATTCAAGCCCAAGCACTGGAAAAATGCAATAATAAATAAATTTTAAAATAATGTATTTTCCATCTGTTGTATCTGATTTAAAGATATGCATAGATCTAAAATTAAGATTTATGGTGTTCTTAAACTTCAGAATAAGATAGATTCTCTTGTCTGCTAAAGCTTAAGTGCATAGCTGAGTCTTTCTGTAGTGTGAAGATGGCGCATTGGCTCCCACCCCTTAAGGTGTGTGGCTGATTTATGTGACCTTTTTTGATATATGGCAAGGCATATAGTGGAGTACATACAATTGTAATATGCTTTCCTGTAGTAAAAACTGTCTCCCGTATAGCAGTATAAAAATAGTAGATCTGCTGTAGACCTCTGGCACTTCTGTGCACATAGAGGACAAATTATTAAATTAAGAAATAGGGGACTTTGCTGTGGTCCTGGAGAGGTTCCCGCAATGATCTGTCCATAGCTTATCTGTACTAATTATTTCTGATTTGGATCACTGTAATCTGAGATTTCTGATTGCCATTACTAGGAGGTAGATGTCACCAAAGTGGCACTTGTATTTTTGAAAATGTCTTGGAAAACCTGTTAATAGTTACATTCTTGTTCCTACATGGTCTGTCCAGGGGTACTACATTGGTTGTTATTTCAACAGCTACTTCTACGGGTGATTGAGAAGAATTTTGAGGTTTAATTAGAGGAATTTGGAGAAGGGGAGCAAAATTGTTTGTTACAGCCTTATTATTGACTTGTTAGTTTTTACTGCTTATATTTCATTTAAAAGATCAAGTGTCAAAGTCTAAAGCTGTTATCTGTCTCAAGTCAGTTTTGTGGGGAGCGTAGGTTTTTTTTTCATTTGTTTGCCAGTTCTTTATGGGTAGATAAGAAAGGCAAAATTTTTTGAGCAGCTGACATCTAGTGTTTGAGAAGATAAATTCAGATAAGTAATTGGCTCTTAGTTTTTGGAAATGTAACACCCCTTCTCCCCCAATTTATTTCATTTGCAAAATTTCCTTGGTATATACAGAATAGCAGTGGCATTAATTTTTCTTGATGTTTGAATGAAAAAAAAAATACTTTCTAAACTTTCTCTTCATAAAAATTAGATTCGTAGATGTTTTTGGAAGAATAAAAGAGCTTCAAATATTTTTTAAGCTAAACTAAGTTAAAAATGAAAACCAGATTCTCTTCTGGCATTTTACTCTTACTCCCTACCTATAGGTAAATCTAGTGAGCTTAGGAAAACAATGCATTGGCAAACTTGGCTGCTATAAACTAGCTTTTGCTTATTGCTCAATACCATTAATTTTTATTAACCCAGCTCACTCCACTGAGATTCATAGGTTTGTTTTTCTTTCTGAGTTTTATATTTTTAATATAAAAAGATGTTCAAAACAAACTACTTTTTAAATACTCTGAATTAAATTCAGTTCAGCGTGGACATTTCTGATACTATTCTAGAGAGATTTTTACCCCGGGCAAGGAAGTTCAGAGTAGTTGTGTCACCTGTTGTGCATCTTGTGCAAGCTGGTAAAAATCTGTGGACATGTAAGATGACTTCGTGCCTAGTGTAACTTTATTCACTGCTCCTTCTGCTGCAATGAATCTCCACCAAATCCTCCAATTAATGCAAAGTTATAAAACTATAGACAGATGGAAAATTAATATTTATAGCAAAATTCCCAGGGTTTTGATAAATGGAAACTGTTGGAGCAACAGATGAAGTTAGCAGTTGATTTAGAGAGAGCAGCCTGTTCAGGAAAACGTGAAAGCTTGTGTCATCTCTGAAGTAGGAGGTCATCTAGTGATGACCTTAAATGTGAGTGTTAGCATTTCTGTGAACTGGAGCCATCTGTGATTAACTGTTTAAAGTTAATTGTTTTGTATTGGTAATAAAGAAATAAATATATTTAAATTATCTCCTCAAATGGTCCCCAAAACCCAGCAGAAGTTTGCAAGATCCACCTCTCATCTCACAATTTCTAAGAGGTGTGCAAATGCCATCACCTTGACAGAGACCTGAATAGTGCAGAAATCAAAAACGCTTCTAATGAGAGGGAGAAGTGATTCACATCACTCAGTGGCCCTTAAATACTGCTGGCCCGATGAGCCAAAGATCAGGGGTGGTGGTGTGGTTTCATTAATGCTGCTGTAAATTCAGAGCAATTTTCCTAACTTCAGTGGTGTGGATACTTTGGAAATATAATAATAGTAAGCATTTTTCTGGTGACTGACATGCATGTCTGAATCCAGTAATCTCCAAATAATGGCCTGGAAGGGATCAGTGCTTAATGTCAGAGGAAAGAACTGAACTGGAGCCCCATCTTTGTCATCACTGTACACAGCTACTGAAGCAGCAGTTTAACGCTCTATGGAAATGCAGTTCGCTGGACAGAATTCATTCCTTCCTAAAATTCATAGCTTGAAGTTACCTTCAAGTTTTTCTGTTAGTGCCTTTAATGGCTTTTGCTGATCTGTAGCTGAAGTTTTTTAGTTTCAAAGTCCTGTTGTTTTCTCAGAAGGAAACTTGGTAGTAGACATGTTTGTGTGTGTGCATGTTCACACCTATAGTGCAGTTAAACCTTAATAAAATAATATTCTGCAAAACAGGATGAGAGTATTTTGTTGTTATATGCTGAAAGTCAGGTCATTACCTGGTGAAGAACCTTAGAAGTTTCTCCTGCACACCCTTGTTTGTGATCAGCCCAAATCACTGCACAGCTGGGTTGTGAGCTTGGGGATTGCCCAGGAAATCTCCACTGGGGACCTACTGCAGAGCTGTGTGCGTGCACAGGAACTCGAATAAGTTTCAGTGTTAGTTGGAAAAAATAAAAGTATGTGTGTATAGAAACTTATGCATTGTAACATGACGTTACCCGTGTAAGAAGTTTCCATAGATAGCCCTTGCAGAGGCTGGAATGGTTCACGAGGAAGTTGCAAGGTTCCCTACGCTGAAGTCTCACTTTTGATATTTTTCAGCATATAATAACAGAATGCTCTTGTCTTGTTAAGTATGCTGTTGATAATGAATATCCTATGCTATTCTTGCTTTGTGCAATATTGTTGTGTTAAACTTGTGTTGCATTATGCCACTGCTGTAACTATTAGAACAAGAAAGAAAGATTTTAGTGAGATTTATGTTCTGATAGGAATAAACCTCTTTTTTTCTTTTTTTTTTTTTTTTTTTCTTAATCAATATTCTTTTATTTCCCTGGCAAACTAATGCTATTTCACATATATACTGAAATTGTATCAGTAATGTTTCTTTTCAGCATCCTGGTCTTTTAAACCAGATTGCTGCAAATATATAATGTAAAGTAAGATTTGGCATTCATATGCATTTAAAGGCTGTGGGGTGATAGTTCAGATGATCTGTAAAATCCTGTAGCTGTTTCAAGTAGCAGACAGTTGCACAAACCCACCTGTGCGCCTCGTATCTGTTACAAACAGTGAGCTCCAGCCACAGCAGAGGTACTTGTGCTCCTGCGTGCGTTGCTGCTTTTGGAAATTCAGCAGCTTTGAGAGTCCCACCTGTGGTTCTCTCTTCAGAGCAGCAGCATTTCCATACTCCTCGTCACCACCGCAGCTGCTGCCTCTCCTCCTCGCTGTGCAAGGAGATGTGCAAGTGTACTTTCCTTGCATTTTCAGTATGTCAAGGTCACCAAGAAGAGAGGAAGAATGTACTGATGTCTGCGGTTTAGAAAGGATGTTGAAGGTCGGAGTGCAGAAATGAGGGACAAAAATGCATCTGTTTTTTTCTTCGGAGGTGGCAGAAGATGCTGTCTGTAGTATATAAATATTTGTGGAGAAAGGACAATGAGCAGGAAAGGATTCCTTGGCAAACAGCATACAGGGACATAGCCGTTGTGTTATGGCTAACAGATATAAATTGGAAGCAAAGCGCCTTAGTGTCTAACAACACATACGCTGTTGTTGGTGTTTGGGGGATGGCGAGCCAGGTGATGGTTTCTTCATCTCTTGGATGTTTTCAGATGGAGGCTGGATACTTTTTACAGAGGACTTGCTGTTATAAATAAATGCTAATCTTTGGGTTTAATACAGGAATAATTGAATGACATTTAATGCCCCATGATAAGTTTGGTTTAAGAAGATTGTAGGAATGGTGTGGCAATTCTGGGAAATACAAAGACTTTTTCTGAGGGAAGGAAACAAACAATTTCTTCTCTGGGGTTCATGGTGGAAAGCACAAGAATTGATGGGCTTCAGTGCAGCAAGTCGGACATAAAGAAAAATGTTCCCCTTGTCAGAACAGTAAAATACTGGAGAGAAAATGCCCGTGGAAGTTGCAGTAATAATTTAGATGTGGTTTTTTCCTTGAGAAAGAGGGATGAGCTGGATGACCTCTAAAGTTTCTCCCAGTCTTTTTTCTGAGACCCTATAGTATATGATGTAGATGTCAATTTTCTCTTCAGCTTCCTGAATCTTACTCTGGTTAACTTTTACCCCTGCTCAGCCAAGGTCTCTGGACTCCATGTAATGTATCTGTTTAACACCCTTACATCCAAACACAAATGATATTCTATGTATAATTTCAAGAAAAAAAGTTACAACCCACCATCTTCTTTTTAGGTCCTCCAGGGAAAAGAGGTAAGCGGGGCAGAAGAGGAGAGACGGGTAAGTTTTCAATTTCGTAAGATCCATTGTTTTTTGATGTCTGTGTTTTTCTGAGGATGCATACCCAGCATGCCTTCATTTTTAGTTTTATTGCCTGTGTGCTCTGAAAGAATGTTCTGAAACTTCTCTGGTAAAAATTTGTGACCCTTGGCATATACCTGGTGGCCTTCCAGATAAGTTAGCAGTCTTGGGCATCATTAATTTGTAGGCACACTTCATAATGCTTGACATGGTACCATTGGTAACACATTGGTAACAATGTCAAACCATGTTGGTGTCTTCTCACGCTTGCGTGAGTTAGAATAACTCTGTGTAAATCAGTAGTTGGGATACTGTAAGTCAGTGTTGCATTAGGCCCCCTTGGTTTCAGACGGACAATTTTATAAGGAAATAAAGAAGGAAATAAAATTCCTTATGTTAAGAACGTCGGTACTGAGGGAAATAATGTGATAAGTAGGCTACTCTGTATGGGAGAAATTGTTGTTCAGTAGAAATGAGTAGCAATTAAGTTCTTATGGAAATAAGAAAAACATTTGTCAGTTCGTTACCCTGTACCAGGGAGGTTGCTGTTGAGAGAATCCCGCTTTTGGTGTGGAGCTTGGAA